GGGGGGGGGGGGGGGGGGAGTATAGGAAACAGGGAGAGAAGGAACCCGCCCCTCACAAAGGAAACGGGGGGGGGTGTCATTGGGGAGCAGCTGGGCTGGGAGAGGCAGCAGGGGCCCCGCGGCACCGATCCAGCGCCCAGGCCCGGCCTGCAGGGAGCCCCGGGCTCAGGCATCTCCCTGCCCCCCCTGCGGCCCCAGGGGCTAACTTGGGGGAGGGCCCCCCCCTTTCTCCATGGCGAGACCAGCCGGCCGACACGCAGCCCGTGACATGGGGGGGCCTGGCCTAACATCGGCCCTGCCCCCGCTGGGCAGCATGGGTGGGGGCGGCAGATGGGGTGTGTCCCAACAGCTGGGGGGCACAAGGGGTCAAGGCAACAGCAGGGGGCCAATCATTATGAAACTTGGGTAATTAACAGCGCCTGCTAATGGGGGTGCATGTGTATGTGTGCATGCAAAATCCACAGGATTTCCCCACACACACCTTGCCGCAAACAAGGTATGTGGGAGCCAGGACTCCTGGGTTCTCTCCCAGCTCTGGGAGGGGAGTGGGGTCTAGTGGTTACAGCGGGGCAGGGCAGGAGCCAGGAGACAGCTACAGGAACGTGTTCGTGTTTAATTCAAATGATCTTTATTCCACATCCATGAAAACCAGCCGCCAGACGGGGAGCAGCTCCCCATCCCCCATCAGGGCGGCCCCATCTCATCCTCGGCGCTGCCTTCCTCCCCTGGCGGCGTCTCCTCGTCCTCTTCCCGCAGGAGGGCCGTGCTGAGGCTCTGCAGGTCGTCCAGCACCGTGGCCAGGGTCTCTGAGGGGAGATCAGCATGGGGGAGATCGTAGCAGGTGAGGGTCAGGGGGCCATAGCCCCGCCTGGGTGGGAATCCTGGAAGGAAGGAGGGGAAGGCAGGGGGGGCCACAGCCCAGGCTGAAGGGACTCAGGTGGGGGGCCTCTGGGTGGGATCCCGGCAGAGGGGAGGCAGGGGGGCCACAGCCCAGGTGGGGCGGGGGGATCTTAGCAGGGAAACTCTGGGTGGGCCATAGCCCAGGCTGGAGGGACTTGGGTGGGAGGCCTCTGGGTGGGATCCCGGCGGGGGGCTGGAGGCAGGTCGGTACCTTTGGAGGGAGGCCGGGCTCCCCCTTTCCCCAGCGGTGGCTGCTGGCCGGTCCCTACTGGCTCCCCTGGGTCCCGCTGGGCCGCCAGCCGGTTCCACTTGTACTGGGCCAGGAGCCCCTCCTGCCGCAGCGTGGCCTGGGGGGAGAGGCAGGGTCAGAAAGGGGGGTGTGCGTGGCTCCCGGGGAAGCCCAGGCCTGGGACAGCAGGGGCTGCGGACAGGCACTGGGGGGCTCTGGCAGGGGCACCCCCCAACCCAGCATCTACCATCAGCAGGTTCTTGTCTCTCTCCAGCGCCTGGAGCCGCGTCCCCAGCCGGCCCGTCTCCTCCCGCTTGGCTTCCTCCTGCAGCCGCGCCAGCTCCTGGCTCCTGGCTCTGTCCCGGGCCGCCCGGCGCTCGGCCTGACGCAGGGCCACCACTGCGGGGAGAGGGCGGGTGAGGGGGCGGCAGGGCTGGGGTGAGGGCCAGCAGGGGAGCCGTGGGGGGAGCCTGGGCTAGCCGGGCGTCAGGAGTGAGGGGCACTGGCGGGGGCGTCTCTCACCGGCCTTTGTCTGCTCCCTTCGGGCCTCGCTGAGCCTCTGCTCCAGCTCCGAGAGATCCTGACGCAGCCGCGTCTCCACCTCCGTCACCTTCTCCTGTAGGGCTGGGGGGGAACGGGGGAGTTAGCTCTGACTGCCGGGGGAGAGCGCCCCCTTCTGACCCCCACTGCTCCCTGCAGCTGAGGGCCATCTGCTGCCCCCCGTGCCCCAGCCCAACACCCCCTGCCCCGCTCCCCACAGCCCCCCACTGTTCCCCCGCCCCAATCCCCGCAGCATGGCGCCCCCTGCTGACCCACTCCCCACATGGCACCCCCTGCTGATCCCCCCTGCGCCGCAGCCCAGCGCCCCCTGCTGAACCCCCGCCACACTCCCCGTAGCCCGGAACCCACCACCAAGCCCCCACCCCACTCCCCGTAGACCCCCCCCTTGCTTCCCCCCCCACTCCACTCCCCACAGCATGGCGTCCCCCTCCCCGCCGCATGGCACCCCTGCTGGCCCCCTCCCCGCTCCCTGCAGTACGCCCCCCCAGCCCTCCCCGTACCTCTCTCATATTCAGGCCGCAGCCCAGCCAGTTCCCGTCTCAGCCCCTCGGCCTCCTCCAGGCTCTCCCGCAGCTCCCGCTGCGCCCCCTCCAGCTGCCCCTGCTGCTGCCGCCGCTCCCGCTCCCGCTCCGCCGCCTCCTTCTGCCCCAGCGCCCCCTGCAGGCTCCACGTCGCCTCCCGCAGCTCCAGCTCCGCTGCGGCCAGATGGGAGAGGGGACGGGTTTGTTATTAACCTGCCGGGACCTCGGGCCTCCTCCCTGCACTTCCAGCTGTGGCCAGTAGGGGCCGCACCCCAGCCAGCGGTGGGGAAAGACTGTCAGGTGCGGTTTCACCTGTGCCACCGGGGGCGCCGTCGAGCTCGACCCGGCCCACGTACCTTTCTCCCGGGCTTCGGCCACCTGCTGCTTGAGGATCTGGGCCCCCTTCTTCAGCTCGGCCACCAGACGGTCCCGCTCCTGGTGCAGCAGGGCCAGCTCGGCCCGGAGAGCCTCGTGGGACGGGCTGGAAGGGAAGGGGGGAACGAGGGAGTCAGACGGCCCCCTGCAGGAGTCCTGGCTCCCAGCCCCCCTTGGTCTAACCACTGGACCCCACTCCCCTCCCAGAGCCAGGGAGAGAACCCAGGAGTCCTGGCTCCCAGCCCCCCCGCTCTAACCACTAGACCCCACTCCCTCGTGGCACCCCTATAAGCGCTGTGCCATTGGCTGGTTCCCGTCCCCAGGGTGGGGTGGGGCTGGACAGGACTCACCCGTCGTTCTCCGAGCCAGCGGCCTTGGGCTGCTCGTCTCTCTGCAGTCGAGCCAGGGCCACTTTACGAGACACCAGCCCTGCAACCGCACAGATGTAGAGTTATGGCCCAGAGATGCAGCCAGCTCTGGGGCGGGGCGGCTGGGAACAGCCCCACAGGGATGCTGCAGGGGATGGCCCATCTGGCTCTGAAATGCAGCCACCTCTGGGGCGGAGTGGCTGGGCAACAGCCACACAGTGACGCTGCTCAAAAGTTTGGGACAGGAAGTGAAGGGGGATCATGTATCCTGTTGAGACCCACAGAAGATGTGATCCAGGACACCGGGCTGGATAGGCCCGTAGGTCTGCCCTGGGGCAGGCGGGTTACCAGGGTAGATGGGCCCATCGGTCGGATTCACTGCTCCGGTTCGTCCCTCTCACCTTGGATGGTGTCGACTCTCTTGGCGGCAAAGGTGACTCGGTTTCCCAGTCCCGCCAGGTTCGATGCGGCCGCCTTCAGCTCCGCCTCCTGCCCCCCAACCTGCTGATGGAGCCTGTGGACAGGACAAGACCGAGGGTCAGAAGGCATGACCTCCACATCCTGACCAATCACACACTTGGCCTCCCACCCGCCGGGCCTGCGACCCCAGAACGGGAGGATGAGGGAACAGTCGAGGTTGTGACCTCAATCACACCAGCCCCAGCCGCTGATGGTCCACAGATGCCAAAACACTGCAGCAAAGGATTCTGGGTAGCAGGGGTGTGGCAGGAGCAGCTGGCTATAAGATCAGAGCCAGGGATCCTTGGTGGGGCCAGATCGAAGCCGGCACCCCCTAGAGGGGAAAGGCCTCTATTCCCCGGGGCCCCCCCGTTTGTCTGCAGAGCGCCCCCCAGTGGTACCTCCTCACGATCTCCACAAGACCCCGCAAGGCGCCCTCGGCCGCTTCCGCCCGGCGCTGGAGAAGCTGCCCTGAGTCCTCTCGGTGGGACAGCTCAGCCCGGAGCGTCTGCAAGGGAGCAGAGCGCCAGTCCCAGCCAGCGTCCGCCCCGGGGTGCCATTCCCCACCCCCTTCAGCTAGCGCCCGCCCCAGGGTGCCATTCCCCACCCCCCTCAGCCAGCGCCCGCCCCGGGGTGCCATTCCCCACCCCCTTCAGCCAGCCACCCCCCCCCCCCGGGTGCCATTCCCCACCCCCGAGCCAACCAGTGCCTGCCCCGGGTGCCATTCCCCGCCCCCCCAGAGCCAGCCAGTACCTGCTCCGGGTGCCATCTCCCACCCCCCTCAGCCAGCCAGTCCCTGCCCTGGGGCCGGATGGGAGCCGGCGCCCCCTAGAGGGGAAAAGCCCCATTCCCGCACCCTCGAGCCAGGACCGAACCTTGTTGTTCACTCGTTCCATGTTGGCCTCAGCTGTCTTATCCTGAAGACTGTGAAGCAGCAGCGCCACCTTCTGGTCCCTCGACTCCACTTCGCCCTGCAGCTCTGAGACCTAGAGAGAGAGCGTGGGGGATTGAACTACTCCGGGGGGGATTCTGCGCATCTGCGGACGTGCCCAATCCCTCGGTCTTGCAGAATTTTGTATTTTCCCGTACAAAAACAGTTTCGCCTTTTGCCCATCAGAGGGCGCTGTGGCACCAGAACAGCCAGCTGCTTTCCTGAGACTTTGGAAGTGGAAGGCAGGTTGGGTGAAAGTGACCATGAAATGACAGAGTTCATGATTGTAAGGAATGGTAGGAGGGACAACAGCACAATAAGACAATGGACTTCGAGAAGGCGACGTCGGCAAACTCAGGGAGTTGGTAGGTAAGATCCCATGGGAAGCAACTCTAAGGGGAAAAACAATTGAAGACAGCTGGCAGTTTTTCAAAGAGACATGATTAAGGGCACAAGAGCAAACTATCCCACTGCGTAGGAAAGATGGGAAGTCTGGCAAGAGACCACCCTGGCTTAACCAGGAGATCTTCAGTGATCTAAAAATCAAAAAAGAGTCCTACAAAAAGTGTAAACTAGGTCAAATTACAAAGGCTGAACATAAACAAATAACACAAGTCTGTAGGGACAAAATTAGAAAGGCCAAGGCACAAAACCAGAACAAACTAGCTAGAGACATAAAGGTAACAAGAAAATAGTCTACAAATACATTTGAATCAAGAGGAAGGCCAAGGACAGGGTAGGCCCGTTACTCAATGAGGGGGGGAAATAATAACAAAGTGTGGAAATGGCAGAGGTGCTTAATGACTTTTGTTTCGGTTTTCACCAAGAAGGCTGGTGATGATTGGACGTCTAACATAGTGAATGCCAGTGAAAACGGGGTAGGATCAGGGGCTAAAATAGGGAAAGAACAAGTTAAAAATTACTTGGACAAATTAGATGTCTTCAAGTCACCAGGGCCTGATGAAATGCCTCCGAGAATACTCAAGGAGCTGACTGAGGAAATATCTGAGCCGTTAGCGATTATCTTTGAAAAGTCATGGAAGACGGGAGAGATTCCAGAAGACTGGAAAAGGGCAAATCTAGTGCCCATCTATAAAAAGGGAAATAAGGACAACCTGGGGAATTACAGCTTAACTCTGTACCTGGAAAGATAATGGAGCAAATAACTAAGCAATCAATTTGCAAACATCTAGAAGATAATAAGGTGATAAGTAACAGTCAGCCTGGATTTGTCAAGAACAAATCGTGTCAAACCAACCTGATGGCTCGTTACCCTGTCAAAGAAAGTTTGTGGATGGGGGGGAAGTAGTAGACGGGGAATATCTTGACTTTAGTAAAGCTTTTGATACTGTCTCGCATGACCTTCTCATAAACAAACTACGGAAATACAACCTAGATGGAGCTACTATAAGGTGGGTGCAGAACTGGTTGGAAAACCATTCCCAGAGAGAAATCATCAGTGGTTCACAGTCATGCTGGAAGGGCATTACAAGTGGGGTCCCACAGGGATCAGTTCTGGGTCCGGTTCTTTTCAATGTCTTCATCAACGATTTAGATAATGGCATAGAGAGCACACTATTAAAGTTTGTGGACGATACCAAGCTGGGAGGGGTTGCAAGTGCTTTGGAGGACAGGATGAGCATTCAAAATGATCTGGACAAACTGGAGAAATGGTCTGAGGAAAATAGGATGAAATTCAATAAGGACAAATGCAAAGTACTCCACTTAGGAAGGAATCAGTTGCACACACACAGAATGGGAAATGACTGCCTAGGAAGGAGTACTGCGGAAAGGGATCTGGGGGTTATAGTGAATCACATGCTAAATATGAGTCAACAGTGTAACACTATTGCCAAAAAACGAACATCATTCTGGGATGTATTAACAGGAGTGTTGTAAGCAAGACACGAGAAGTAATTCTTCCGTTCTACTCTGCGCTGATTAGGCCTCAACTGGAGTATTGTGTCTGGTTCTGGACGCCACATTTCAGGAAAGATGTGGACAAATAGGAGAAAGTCCAGAGAAGAGCAACAAAAATGATGAAAGGTTTAGAAAACATGACCTATGAGGCAAGATTGAAAAAACTGGGTCTGTTTAGTATGGAAAAGAGAAGACTGAGAGGGGACATGATAACTGTTTTCAAGTACATAAAAGGTTGTTACAAGGAGGAGGGAGAAGAATTGTTCTTAACCTCTGAGGACAGGACAAGAAGCAATGGGCTTAAACTGCAGCAAGGGAGGTTTAGGTTGGACATTAGGAAAAACTTCCTAACTGTCAGGGTGGTGAAGCACTGGAATAAATTGCCGGGGGAGGTTGTGGAATCTCCATCATTGGGGATTTTTAAGAGCAGGTCAGACAAACACCTGCCAGGGATGGTCTAGATAATACTTAGTCCTGCCATGAGTGCAGGGGACAGGACTAGGTGACCTCTGGAGGTCCCGTCCAGTTCCATGATTCTATGCTGCGTTCTAGCGCCACAGCGCCCTCTGGTGGGAAAAAGGCGGAACTGCAGCACTTCTTAGGCAAAATGTATTTTATGACAGAAAATACAAAATTCGATGCCCAGTTCTGCAGAATTCCCCTGGAGTGGAGTTGATCACAGCACCCTGCCGGCAGAGCCAGGTTAGGACAGAGCGGGGCACACAGAGCTACGGGGGGGTCACAGACTGGGGTTCAGAATGGCTAGTGGGGGGCACAGACTGGGGCATGAGATGACAGGGGACGGGGGGCTAGAGACCCATGCGATGCGGGGTGCAGGGACACGGGCAGATGTGCCTGACTGAATGGGAGAGGCTCGGGGTCAGCCAGAGTCTGCATGGGGGAGGCTTCCCAACTCCCTAACAATCCCCCCCCCCCCCCCCCAAGAAAAACCTCCCACCCACACCCAACACCCTCCTGGCTCCTTCCCTCTCCCTCAGCTCCTCCGTTACCCCTGACTTTGCCCTGCTTCTGACGGGGGCAGGAAGTACAGCTCTGTAGTGTCATTTAGAAGAATTATACAAAGTTGTGTATGAATACGCCTCGTAAGGAATCTATTTGTCAAAAAAAATTACCAGCATCTTTTTTGGTTGGGTCCGTATTGTTACAGACATACTCGCTGACAGATAGTTTGAAATAAATGACCAAAATAATTGTAACTGGCATGATTCTATTGTGTTATTTTGACAAATCAAATACGCAGAATTTGGGAGAATTTTCAAACATTGTGTGCAGAATTTTACATTTTTTGGCGCAGAATTCTCACAGTATAGAACCCAGGAGTCCGGGCTCCCAGCACTAGATCCCGCTCCCCTCCAGCAGGCCCTCACCTTCCTCTGGAGCAGGTTGGTGGCATCCACATGGCCAAGCTCCTGGGATTTGAGCTGCACCATGAGGGCAAAGACCTTCTCCCGCCAACGGCTCAGCAGGGACTGGCTCTTCTGGGCTGGCTCGGGCTGCAGGGGGTCACAGGGCTGGAGGGAGACATTGGGTCAACGCCAGGCTACAGTGCAGCCCCCCACAGCACAGCCCCCTCTACAGCCATGCTGGGGAACTGGGCCAGCCCTGGGTGCCAGGGGAGAGCGACCCAGTGGTGCCAGGGAGCCATTACCTTCCTGGTCAGCTCCAGCTCCTGCAGGGCCAGGATGTCGCTGAGCGAGGCCAGTCTGAGCTGCAGCAGCTCCGCCGTCGTCCTCAGGGAGTCGCGCTCCCCTTCTAGGCGCTGGGGGTAAGGGGAGGGTGTGAGCGCCCCCGGCTGGGAGGGATCAGTCCTGTCCCCCCCCCATGTGTGTCAGCGCCCCCCTGCTGAGAGGTGATCAGTCCTGCCCCCTGCAGGACGCAATAGGAACTGCTCGTGTGTAGCTCGCCCCTCCAGAGCCCCCCCTCCTCACCTGCACCTGGCCGAGTAGCTGCTGCCTCTCGGGGCCCAGCCCGCTCCCCTGCTCCCCCACGTAGGTCCGCAGCTGCTGCAGCAGGGCCTGCTGGGAGGCCAGCTCCGCCTGGGCCGTGCTGTGGGGGCAGAAAGCAGGGGGTTGACACATGGGGACGGGGGCTTCCTGCCTCCAGGGGGCGCCATCCCGCAGCCGTTCCTACCTGAGCTGCTCCTGCAGGCTCTGGCGCGCCCGTCCCCTCGCCTCCAGCTCCTGCTCCAGCTGCAGGGCCCGCTGCCGCAGGGAGCCGACTTCAGCCCCATGGGCCACGCAGAGACGGGAGAGCTAGGGGGAGAGAGGGGACCTGGGTGGGAAGAGAACCCAGGAGTCCTGGCTCCCAGCCCCCCTGCTCTAAGCCATCAGACCCCACTCCCCTCCCAGAGCCGGGGATAGATCCCAGGAGTCCTGGCTCCCAGACCCCCACTCACCTCAGCCTGGTGCTCCCCCAGCGCCCCCTGCAGGCGCTCTGTCGCCCTTTGGGTCTGGGCCTTCCCTTCCTCCAGCGCCGCCTGCAGCTCCCCCCGCGCCACCGCCAGCTCCTGCTGGTGCTGCTCAGCGGCCACTTCTAGCTCCGCCCTCAGGGCATCAGCTTCTGCTTGGCCACGCCTCCTCTGCTCCTCTAGCTCCGCCCTCAGGGCATGAGTTTCCGCTTGGCCACGCCTCCTCAGCTCTTCCAACTCCGCCTTCAGGGCAGTAACTTCTGCCTGGCCACGCCTCTTCTGCTCCTCTAGCTCCGCCCTCAGGGCTTCGCCCTCAGCCCGGCTCCTCCCCCTCAGCTGCTCCAGCTCCCCCTGCAGACAGGCCACGGTGCTTTCCCTGGCAGCCACCGTGGCCTCCTGCTGGAGGGCAGCAGCTTGGAGCCCAGCTAGCTCCGCCTCCAGCCGCTGGATCTCGTGGAGCTGGTGGGAAATGAGCTCGGCCTGCTGGGATATGGCCAGGGCATGACGGGCAGCAGGGGGCTCCGCCTCCCTGTCCAGGGACCTGCAGGGGAGGGCGAGATGGACGTGGAGCCTTTCACCTCTAGGGGACTGGCTCCGATCCTGCTGCTGGAGGGCGGGGGAGAGACTGGGCTGGCTCAGGGGGGTGGGGAATGGGATACGGCCTTTTACCTGGTCCTGGCTCCAGGCTCCTCCGTTTCCGCTCCTGCCCTCCCCCTGGGTGCCCTGGTGCCCTCTGCTGCCCATCTGTGCAGCTCATCTCGGAGGCGCTGGTTCTCCTGCCTCAGGTCCGTGAGCTCCTGGGGCTGCCAGCAGGGCGACCCGGCCCTCCAGGGCGCCGCTCCAGAAGCAGCCAGGGGAGGCGCCGACCGGCTCTGGAAATGGGAGGGAGGGATCAGCCCCCTAGGACCTATGGGAGAAATGACACGGAATGGAACTCAGGCGTCCGGAATGGCAATGCATAGGGCTCATCCCTATGGTGCTGGAGATGGGGAATGGGACCCAGGTGTCCGGGATAGCAATGCATGAGGCTCATCCCTACGGTGCTGGAGATGGGGAATGGAACCCAGGCATCCGGAATGGCAATGCATGGGGCTCATTCTTAGGATGTTGGAGATGGGGGATGGGACCCAGGTGTCCAGGATGACAATTCATGGGGCTCGCCCCTAGGGGGAGGAAGACCAGGACATTGAATGGGACCCGGGCGTCCGGGACGGCAGCGTGTGGCGCTGGGCTGAGGGGACTCTCAGAGCTGTGGATGTTACCGGGGGGTCTGGGGGCTCCGAAGGCGGCCGGTGGGTCCAGGTGACCCCTGGATTCTTCCCTCTTGTCCATTGTCCCGCGGGCGGCCGGACGACTCCCGGTCCCTAGAGGGGAACAGACCGGCTCGTCTCTCTCCCCCGGCCACGTGCCCACCGGGCGGCTGCTGCAGCCTGGGGACTTATGATAGACCCTACAAAAACATCCCGAGCTGCCACACAGCACCTAGCAAGGCAGCTCCCCCCCCTTCCCATCCCCCACAGTCCCCCCCCCGCGCGGGGCACGCCGGGAGGCTGGTCCCCCTCCTGCACGCGCGGGGCACGCCGGGAGGCTGGTTTCCCCCCCCTCGCGCGGAGCACGCCGGGAGTCTGGTTTCCCCGCCCCCACGCGCGGGGCACGCCGGGAATTGGTCCGGGGTCCACACCTGTCCAGACCCGACTTGCTCCAGCTCCCCACTCCGGGCTGCGGGGAAACCTCGCGAGACCAACAGCCCCCGCTCGCGCCACGGGCCCGCGGGAACCCGAACGAGCCAATCAGCGGACAGGGGGCGGGGTCATAGCGAGTCTCGCCCCTTTCCCCTAACTAACCAATCCGCGCCGAGGGGAGGAGTCAGCGGGGGGGACATACGCCCTCAGGCAGCAGTGACCAATCAGCGGGGAGAACGGGAGCCAGCGTCTCCGCCCCCAGGCAGTGCTGACCAATCACAGCTGTAGGAGGCCAGGGCGGGAGGATTGAGGAGGAGCTGGAGGCCGGGCTGCCCGCGCTGCTGGGCTCAGGGATCCTTCCCGCAAGCCTGGGACTGGGGGCGCCTGTATTTGTAACTCTAGCGCTTAGCTGCATTGACCCATTGGGTTTGTCTACATGGAGACCTGCTCCGGTTCAATTAAACCAGATTAACCCTCTATGTGCAGCTGGAATGGTTTATTCCAGTTTAGTTTAGCTCTATGTTCATTTCCACTCAGAGTTAAACTAAACTGGAATAAACCACACAACAGGGTAAGGATGTCCACATGGGTGGGTGGGGGGCTTAATCTGAATTAACTAATCCAGTTTCAGCAGGCAATCAGCCATGCAACGGTGGTCCCCGGCTCCCTGGAGGTGCTGAGCTGTATCCAAAGCAGATGAAACACCACGTGGAGGAGTCTCTTCCCTGCCGTTCTCTCTGTGGGGCCGACTCAATACCGACGCCCCACCCCTGGCCAGGCCTGAATCAGGCCATGGTAGGAGCCCAGGGGGGCCATTTCAGATCGGGGGGGGGGCAACTTTAACTGTGATTCCAGGAGCTACTTAGGCACCTGAAAACGATTGAGGTTTTTTGCAGATTATTACTTAGAAATTAGCTGACAGGAAACTGTATCTAATTCCCATTAGGGCTGTCAATTAACTGCCATTAATGGCTGTGATTAACGCACAGCACAATTAACGTGTTACATTTTTTAACCCGCATTAATCGCAGACCCTCAAGGTGGGAGGGCAGCAGGGGCTGCTCCAAAAAGCCTGTCTGGTCAGGCGCAGTAACACACGCCGCCCCCAGGGGGCGGGAAGGGACGAGGTGACAGACAGTGGGGTAAAAACAGGACAGCCAGGGGCTCGCCGGAGCAGCCCCCCACCCCGCTTGCAGGGCTCGCCCGAACCACCCTCCCCATGCCGCCTGCAGCTGGGGCTGACCCCTCCCCCACCAAGTCCCGTGCTGCCTGGGCTGGGACTGACCCCCATCCCGAGCTCAGGGGCTGATGCCCCCCGAGCTCCGCACCTCCCCCGGCTGAGGCTGATCCCGCCCCCACCCCAAGCTCCGCGCCGCCCAGGGGTCAGCTGTGAAGCCAGCACCTCCCACCAACAGCAAATTCTCCACTTTTCTGCTGGCGGGCAGGGGCATTGCTGCCTTCAGCTGACCCCGGGCAGCAGCCGCCTCTCTCTGCTCTGCCTGGCAGCCGGGACAAACGCCCAGGTTTGGCGAAGAAGTAGGGCCGGCCGGGACAGAGCTGGAAAAGGGGCCTGTCCTGGCCAAAACGGGACATATCGTTACCCTACCCAGCCCGGGCCCTATTGTTCCCAGCCGGCCCCTCACTCCCAGTACCAACCCCCCTGCGTCGTGCCCCACTACCCTAGCCGGCCACTCGCTCCGGGGTACCCCATAGAGAACATGGCCTGGTGAGCTCAGCCTCCCTGCACCAGCCTCTCCTCCCCTGCAGTATGGTGTGTCCCTGAGGTCAAATCCACCCTTGCAAACAAGGGCTCGGTCAGCGGAAGGGAGCCCACCTAGCTCAGTAAAAGGAGGCGAACCTGGCGAGCCCAGTATGTTGGTGATTTTATATAATAAGTGATTTTAAATGTTTAGGATCAGGATTTTTTATATGGTTTCCCCCCTCATCAATATGGACTCTGGGACTTTTCAAAATGGAGTCAAATCTCCATTATGTCCCCAGAGGCGGGAAAATTAAGGCACTAAAGCTGTGACGCAAATGGCTGGTTCAAACCAGTTGGAACTGGCTTGTAACTGCCGTCCCCTCCGAGCTTTCCTGCCATTCGCGCCTTATAAGGACCTGTGCCCCGTCGTCACTTCGCTGCCCATCCAGGGGGCAGCCGTGTGCGGTCGGGCTATTGCCCGGGTCTCCGGATCGAGAGCTGGGAAGGATCCTGTGACACCAACAACTTACCCGCCACCCAGGGTCCTTTGGTCCATCCGCAGCTCTGGTCCCAGCCGCTTGTCACCATCCAGCGGTCGAGATCCAGCGTTTCTTCCCAAAGGCCGGCGTTCGGCCGAGGGCAGAACATCCTGCACCCACCACTCGCCACCATCTGCCCTGCCCAGAGATGACATGGGATTAGCAGGGGCCATAGAGGGGATTGGATCTGTTTTGTTCTTGTTGCCAAGGGAGGGGTATATCGGGCCTGAGCTTCAAGCTCCTTGGTTGCAGTCCACTGGTTGCGGAGTGTTTGTGTTGCTTACGCTTTTCTCCTCACCCCTGTCTTGTAATCAACCCTGCATACAACACTGCCCTGTTTCAAACGTTATTTTCTCTCTCCTCTTTTCTTACACCACACGTGTGAGGGAGGGTGGGACACAGGAGCTGCTTCCTCAGGTGATAGACCCTGATAGCAAGGCCAAGACCCCGTACCTGTAAAAGGGAAACAGAGGCACATTGGGGTTCACGTAGATTTAATTTTTCCCTGGTTACAAGTACCAGAAACCACCTTCCAGAAGCAACAGCAAGACACCTCCCTCACCCTCCTCCTGCACACGTCATTGCTTCCTTCCCCCTCCCGTCCTCCCCCAGCACTGAATGCGTCTTTGGGTATGTCTACACTATTCACCGGATCGGCAGGCAGCGATCGATCCAGCAGGGGTCAATTTATCCTGTCTAGTCTAGACGTGATAAATCGACCCCTGAGCGCTCTCCCGTCGACTCCTGTACTCCAGCGCCGCGAGAGGTGCAAGCAGAGTCGACGGGGGAGCGGCAGCAGTCAACTTACCGCGGTGAAGACACCATGGTAAGTCGATCTAAGTACATCGACTTCAGCTACGTTATTCACATAGCTGAAGTTGCGTAACTTAGATCGACAGCCCCCCCAAAGTAGATCAGGCCTTTGGCTGAGCAATTGGCTGAACAAGAAGTAGGACTGAGTGGACTTGTAGGCTTTAAAGTTTCAGTGTTTTATTGTTCAGTGCAGTTATTCTTTTTTACATAATTCTACATTTGTAAGTTCAACTTTCATGATACAGAGATTGCACTACAGTACTTCAGTGAGGTGAATTGACGTTTCTTTTTTACAGTGCAAATGTTTGTAATAAAAAATAAATATAAAGTCAGCACTGTACACTTTGTGTTGTAACTGAAATCAATATATTTGAAAATGTAGAAAACATCCAAAAATATTTAAATAAATGGTATTCTATGTTTGTTTAACAGAGCGATTAATAGCGTGATTAATCACGATTAATTGTTTTAATCACTTGACAGCCCTAATTCCTATATAAAGAAAGATAAAAAGATATAAAAACACCAATTATAGCCATATTTAATGTTTATATGTAAGTATAGAAGAATCAGGAGATAATACAGCAAGATATTCCTAATTCCAGGACTTGAGGTATCATAAGCACGGCCATACCGGGTCAGACCAAGGGTCCATCCAGCCCAATATCCTGTCATCCGACAATGGCCAATGCCAGGTGCCCCAGAGGGAATGAACGGAACAGGGAAACATCAAGTGATCCATCCCCTGTTGGCCGCTCCCGGCTTCTGTTAAACAGAGGCTAGGGACACCATCCCTGCCCAGCCTGGCTAATAGCCATTGACGGACCTAGCCTTGATTAAATTAGCTAGTTCTTTTTTTAACCCTCTATCCAACCTCCCCGTTCCCTGTCCCCTGACTGCCCCCCTCAGAGTCCCTGACCCTTCCAAACCCTCCCCCCCTCCCTGTCCCCTGACCACCTCCTCCTGAAACCCCCCCGACCCTAATCACTCCCCCAGACCACACCCCCATCCAACCCCTCCTTTCCCTGTCCCCTGACTGCCCCCCCTCAGAACCTCTGCCCCTTATCCAACCTCCCAGCCCCCTTACCGTGCTGCTCAGAGCAGCGCCGCCTGGTCGAAGCTAGACGCGCTGCCCCCCCCCCCCCCGAGCGCACAACCCCTCCCATGCGGCGGCATGGCTCCGGGGGAGGGGAGACAGCAGGGGAGGGGCCGGGGGAAGCCTCCCTGGCCGGGAGCTCAGGGGCTGGGCAGGACGGTCCCGCAGGCCGGATGTGGCCCGCGGGCTGTAGTTTCCCACCTCTGGTGTAGTAAGATGAGGCCCTGAAACATAAACCCTTGATTCAGAGGCCCAGCATGAGGCCTAAGGCCTGAGCTAAAGTAAGGGTTAAGACTTTGGCTCACAGCTTAACTTTGCTTTCTGTTACCAGAGGCAGGCCCTGCTCACAGACGCTGGCAAGGAAAGGGCTGATGCTGCAAAAAGACACAGACCGAAAAGGTCCTGGGCATTAGAGATATAAACATGTCCCAGGATAGTACCAGAAAACTCCGCTACGGGCACACTCCATGCAGATAACAAGGAACAGGCTGACCCAGCCTAAAGACCGGGCAAAAGGACAATATGACAGATAGGGTTGTTTTGTTTGAACCAACTTGTACAAGGTGAGAGGCGGCACCTTTCTACGTAGAGGGTCTGCACCTCAGTACGTCAGGAGTGAGGTGTAACTTGTTTGTACCTGTGTATAAGA